AAAAAAAAAAAACTCATACTATACATAGTTAACATAAAAACAAAGCATAAATAATATACTAAAACCAGTGCAAAGGTTTAGACCATGTAGTACCATAGGTGTGCCAGAAAAGAGAACTTTTTGTTAGGCACCTGAAACTCAAGAGAGTAAGTACCTGGTGCATCTCAGATGGTAGAGCATTCCATAATTGTGGTGCCAACACAGAAAAGGTCCTCTTCCTTACAGCCTTCTTTTTAACCTCCTTGGGGAGAGGGACTCAGGAAGGCCTCAGTGGATGATCTTAAACAGTAGGCAGGAATACATGCAGTAAGGCACCCCCTAAGATAATGTGGTCCTAAGACATTTAGGGCTTTACATATCATAGTGAAAACCTTGAATTTGACTTGGACTGGAACAGGCAGCCAGTGCAATCAATGAAGGAGCTGTGTAATAAGTTCAAAAGAACTGCTCCTCAGCAACCATGCTGCCCTGTTCTGAAGAATTTGAAGAGTCCAGGCCATCTTCAAGGGAAGCCCCACATATAGTGCATTACAATAATCCAATCTGGAGGTTACCAGCCCATGAATGACCATGGCAAGATTACACTCATCCAAGTAGGAGCATAGTTGGTAAATCAGTCAAAGCTCATAAAAAGCACTCTCAGCAACCAAGTCCACCTGGACAAACAGGGAGAACTTGGGGTTCAGGAGCACCCGCAAACTACAAACTTGTCCTTTGGCGGAGTGCAAGCCATCTCCCTAGGAGGCAGAGCCTGCTTCACAGTCTGTGGGAAAGAGAGGACTTAAGCCTCCTTTCCCTCTTGATGACCCAGGTGAGCACAGGAACTGCACAACAAGCCCCTGAAGGTTGTGCACCTCCAATCTAAATCAGTCGAAGTGGCAGTTGCCCCCACAGGTGAGTCTGATTGCTCAGTCCCATTCAGTGCTGACCTTTGGATGTATTTGATCAATTGGGTGACTGATACACACTCCTGGAAGTGTGTCAGTTGCCTGATCCGCATGAATACAACCTACCAGTGTTGCCAGAGCAGCATGGGAAGTAACTCATGCTGTACAGGTATGACAGTGATGTGTTATACTCTGGTTTACTTGTCTTTTATATAACATAATAATGTTGTGACTTATGTAGAAAGATGCCTGAAAGGGTTTTGAATTGGAATTCAGTTATTTTTGTGCTCCATTGAAAGGAAGTTGTGCATTCCAACTACATTGGTACAACAGAATAGAATAGACATTTATTGACCAACAAAATTTCAAGGACAGATTCTAAATGACTCTAAACACACATTTTCACTACTTAGTAACACTCAAAGCTGCAAGTAGGTCTAGGAAGAGCTAGGCTTTGTCCTTCAAGATGCTCCACAGTTGTCATTCTTTGTTCTGAAAAAAGGTTTTAACTCTCCCCTTATTTTGGCAGTCATTTTACACACCATCTGAAAGTTACAAATGGAGAGCAGTTTAAGAATCACAATTTCTTGCTGTATCATTGACTGTAAACATAGTGCTAATTTGTTCTTCTCTGGTGACAGGAAGTTATCTATCTGATAACTTTCAGTAGGAACTGGCAAGTTGTGTGCACATTTACTAATACTTATAATACTTTTCTTTAAATGCAATTGGAGTACCTTTCAAAGAAGTAAAATGATACAGAAACATACCGTGGAATTAGTGAGCAAAAAAGGAAAGCAGAACTCAAAACTCAAGAAAAGTCTTGCATGTTTTGTTTAATGCGTACATTGTGTCTGAGGAAGTTATTTTGTACTGTTTGATTCTGTTAGTGAATATGGTCCATTTAAGGTGGCTGTGCTTTCTGATCTTTCAGATTACTCCATTTCATGCCTCTTTGGTGCAATTCATTGGCAAAGCAATGGGAGCAGTCACAAATCCTGTTACAGGTTTTTTTATTAGTAAAAGCAAATGGACCAAAATAGGCCGACTTTTGCCTTGGTAAGCATGCTAGCAATATGTGTTTATTACCTTTGTATTCTATTTGCATGCCTTGGGCAGAACTGATGTTAAGGAACATGTTGTTTAAAAGTTCCCATTTTCAATCCTAAACAGAATTTTGCAGTTATAAATAAAATGTACCCAATTGTAGAATATTTCTTTGGTCAGTGGGGAGACAGATCAATGAGGTCCAAATCCAAGACAGAGATAGGCACAAATGTATACTTCTTGTTTGTAAGTGAGTCTAGGTTGTTATTTTTTAATTTATTTATTTCATCATTTACATACATATTATATAGGTATAAACTTATTAAACAGTTTACAATACTATTTGTTTTTATTTATTTAAAAGGATATTTACATAATTAAAAATAAATATGCTTTCACTATAGGGGTTTCTTTGAATCATTATAAATGTTAAAAGATTGTAGATTGCGCAGACAGGAAAACATAGCAGTAGGATTTAGCCTGTCCTTGTGAAAACCATAGGACGAACATATAGAACCTCACATAAGGCAAAAATTAATCTACCTTTTCAGAGGAAGCTAAAGAATAATATGGCACAAATGATGTTACAAAAGACATCTCTCTATAAATTAGCTCAAGAATTTTTTTTCTTATTTTATGTGCTTTAACTAAAGTAACTGGTACTGAATTTATAACATATCAATATGTAGGGTTTCAAAAGGGATGTTGGAGTGTGAATCATAAAGTCTACATAGGAAACGTTCTCCAACCATATCCTAATTTGTAGACTAGACTTCTTCAACCGGGTGCTCTCCAGATATTTTGGACTGGGAGTTGAAGTCTAAACCTCTGGAGGGCACCAGGTTGGAGAAGGCTACTGTAGATGGTATTCAAAAGGAACTTGCTACACTTTTGTTAGAAATGACAAGAGGCTGCACTCCAAAGTCCAGTGAACAAAGGTCACAACTTGATGCTCATCAGATGATTGTAATATTAGATTTACAGGAGCCTTACCTGGCCTAAATCTAAGTGGAAGGTGTAAAGGAGAAATAAGTAGCCACTGAAGATACAGAAACTTGGACCAAATATACAAATATTCATTTGATGATGGCATCTACATGCCATCCAGTCAAATATTGAAAGCATTGAAGGCACTCAGTGCTTTGCACTATATGAGATGAGTGTTTATCCTCCCAATATTGGAGTATCAGTCATTTAGGTGTCAAAATGGAGCAGAGAACCCATTTACTCTGATCATCTGTTAATTTCCATGAAGCAAGTAAATAATTTTTAAAAGCGGTGCATCAGTGAATATTAAAGATTGTTCCAGTGCAAAATTTATCTGTGTAATAACTTCCTCCCAAAAAAGCAACTACTGGAGATGGACAAAATGTGTGCTTAAGCTTTGCTTTATTGTACAGCCAGTAATTAGCTGAATTAGACAATCTTCCTTTATTCACAAGTGTCCAATAGACATGAAAAATGGCTTTACAGCCTGAAATAAGCCACAGCCTGAAATCCATAGATATCATAGTAGATCCCAAATCAGTGATCTGTGAATCATCCATTTTATGGTGAGGCCCACAGCAATTTCCCCAATTTCCAAATGTGTGCGTAAGTTCAAAAAGGCTGGGAATCTCTGCCCTGTGGGACACTCAGTTCCCTATTCCAGGACCAGCCACCATTACAGGACACATCATTGTACAAAGCTCAACGTAACATGCAACACAAGAAAGAGTCTGCATGTTTCTGTCCAGTATATCATTCTAAAGACTGATCTGCATGTTGGTTCAAAAGGAGCTGAACTTCCTGAACAGGACCATCTCACAATTTCAGGACGAAAACTGAAATTTTACATAAAAATGCACAACTCACATGGGCTTATCTTAATAGTTCAGAACAGTTTAGTTGTACAAATCTTTTCTAACTATGTACAAGTTTTTCCTGGTCTTGGGATGTGCTTTCATTTCTCCATTTCTTGACTCAACATGTTTTTAATCAGTTGTGAACAATAAATGTTGAGGGATCAGAATACAGCCAGTTTCCTTGCACTTCTTCATACCTACCCTCTAATACCACTTTTCATCTCCTAGAACAATCATGGAACTGTTATTGTATTCAAATAATGTTCTCTTGTGTTCTGTCCCTTTTTCCTTTCAGTCCTCAACTGCAGATAATCAGCTGACATTTACATTACAAACATGAATGGGGACAGCAGTTTGAAACAGTATGAAAATGCTGTGCAGATAGTATTTCTGATGGGATTAATCTGTGGTGTTTGTTCATTCAGGTTTTTGTTAATAGCACCTATGGTCATCTAATTACATTGTGCAGTGGCTGCTATATGCAAACACTGGAGAATTCTGCAGTGATTAGAGGTCATGCTCTCTGGAATTAATAGCATTTGCTCATCATGGACAGATAACAAAACTAGAATATACTCTATTCTGTCTACCAGCCTTACAGCCGCTTCACTGATACAGAGTTTATCAGCCCCGAGAGTTATTTTTGGATTTGTTTAGAACCATGTTTACTCACTGAAAAGCTGATCTGTGCTGTCTTGGAGATACTGTCATAAAAAAGGAAGCAGAATCACTTTCAGTATCATAAAACACAGGGCCAGCTAAAGAGTAATTGTTTTTAGGTGACTATGATACAGGGGCCTTTACCTTTTGTACATCCAAAAATGTAGCAATAATGAGAATCTAAAGTGTCTTTGGCTGACTGAAGGTATAGCAGTCATGTTAAAGACCTCCTACAGTGCAATCCAATAAGGCTGTCCATGACCCTCTGGACTCAGAGAATTACGGGCATCCTATGAAGGGCAGGAGGAACTCCGAGGCAAAGGTCACCTCAATGCTTGACCCACCCTACAAAACACTTAGAAGTCCAATTTCATGTGTGTATTTTGCCACGAAGCCCAAGGAGAGCAGTCTGAATCACTGTCCAGATGCTGCGTATGCTGGCAAATGCTGTCTCCTCTCGCTCCAGGACCCCCAAAGCTTGTCTCTGAGGCTCTTGGGGCCTTTTAAGCCTTAGAGCAGGGGGGTTTCATGCTGGCTGCAAGAGCAGAGGGAGGGTACCCCAAATTTGGAATCTCAAGGTTGGAACTGGGACTCTGCATTATCCTATGGCCAGGTTCACAATAGGATTGTGCCCAGGAGTCTTGGGTGCTACACAAACTATATTAAAACAGACAAAAAGTGCTTCTTGTGCACAGGTTTAGACTATAACCAGTATAAAAGGTGCTAGATAGTGTGATGGATATAGGCCCAAACTTCAACTCGGGCAGCTTCAGGGGAGATTTTAATCTTGGGATCTTCTGCTGTTTTGGTTCATGTATGCAGTCTTGAGGTACTGAATAGAGAATGGATAGTAACACTACCTAAAATGATCTAGATAGATTTAAATTTTAAGAATCAAAATGTTCCAGATGCATGTTTGATATGTGTCATATTGTTTTTCCTCCAGGTTGGTGGGTTGTACCCCTTTCATTACTGTATCGTACTGGTTGATGTGGTACTTACCACACTTCGTATCTGCAAGAGTTGTATGGTATCTTACTTTTTATTCCCTTTTCCAAGCACTATTTACAGTAAGTTGATCATTGCTGAAATCTTTTTTTTCCTTCAATGCTGTATGTGTCTGCACATCACAGTAGTTCCTTTCTAAAATAAAATGAAATGCCTGTTCACTAATGCAGGGAAACAAGTAAAGATCTACACTATCTGGTGTAATGATGAATTCAGCAATTCAGATAGTTTTAACCAAGCAACTTCATGAAATAAGCTCATCATAATAGTATCATGTTGCAAAGGGTTGGAAAAATGTAAGTGATAGTTAAGGCACTTCAGATGCTGTTGGGGCAATGGGAAGACATTCATAACTTAAGGAGTAAGTCATCACAAAGATTAAAAATGATTTAGCTGAGAGCTTCATGAACTGCTTGACTGACATTTTTCTTAGCAGTAGTCTGAGGTTCAGCTAGTAAAGGCTCTATTACATTTATACTGTGTAATAATGGGCTTTTAGAAGCTCAAGATGAGTTTGTATTTCTTTCTGAAATTCTGTATTTCTGAAATACTCGGTTCTTTTGCTGCAATCTATATGGAAACAGGTCCAAGAAATAATCGCCTTCCATAAGAGTGATTTTTCCCCTTATTCTTTGAAGATGACAGTGTACTCCACCAGAAATGCTTTTCATTACTTAGTACAAATATGGTTTGAAGCTGACGATACATTCTGTGCAACCTGTCTACATTTATGCACACTCTAATCCTGTTGTCCCCTTCCTGTTCAGGTTTTGAAGACTTTGTACTTTAACACAGCAATTGGATTTTTTCCTCCTCCTTTTCTTTTTCCTTTCTCCCCTCACTAGGAATTGTAATGTTTGATTGAATTGTAATTAAATTAGTCTTGTATCTGGCTGTTTGGCACTTAGAGAGCCCCGTTGAGTTATTCAGCAGCCTGGAAATTTATAAGAAACAAACACGTTTAGGTCACAGCCCAAGTAATTTCCTTGGTTGGACCTCTGGGAGTTTGCACTGAGCCTTCCACAGATCTTGCATTCAAAATTATTCATAGACTGCTATGCTTTGGGCTAACTTATATCAAGGCTTTTTGACTTGAAACTTTATTCAAATATTATTTAAAATTGTGTTATAACATAGTAAAAACAATTGGCATTATTGCATTCAAGCCCTTTCCAATAATTTCCATTGTTTCCCATGCCATTTTATTCTTTTTAAAATCTAGCCAGAAATAGTTTAGCAATAATTAAAAATAAAGAAACAGCAACTACAGCCTAAAACAGTACCCACTACAAAGATTATAGTGAATGTGTGCTGAGAATGGTTCATTCACCAGAGCTATGTCACATCTATTGTGGTTGGAATAGAATTGGATGTACACATAAAGATCAATATTCCCAATAGTATGGCAAGACAACTGCAGTTCCATGTGTAGTTTATGCTAGAAAAGCAATTATTGGGTAGTTCTAAGAACCACTCTTCTGGAGACAGGCCTGGTATCTCTAGACCTCCTGTTAAAATTGCTTCACATGACCTCCGGTATCTGCAGTATCCTCTCCAATTGCCCAGCAAAGGTGGCCCCAGGCTCTTCAGATTGATAGCAAAGCCAGATCACTCTGGTTTAGTTGCTTATGGCAACAGATGAGATAGTAAACTCTTGCTTGAAATGCAGAACTCCAGAGTGCAAGTGGAGGCTAACATGATGGAATGCTTTCCTATGAGAAAACTTTCCTACCTGTAGGAAACTGTCATAGGGAAGGCTAGACTGGCTATTTCATGATTACCCTCTTTATGTTTATTAAGCATCACTTCCGCACACAGGTTGAAGCATCTTCCCTTACCTAATGAGCCTGATACACCAGAAATGAAGTTAAAATATCTCTGATTCACACCTGTGGCCCTATATACCTGGGTTTTTGGAAGGTATTGGTACCTTATTTCCACAGAGGCTTACAGCCTTCATGTAAAAAAGCCAAGCTCCTTAGATTAATCCAGAGGCTCATTTAACATGACAACAGTTTCCCCTGATTGGTAGAGGGTAGAGTCTGTTCTCTCCTTTCCCCCCAGCCTCCCCCACATACCAAGGGATAAAAATAAGATCTCCTTTCCTGTTATTTTCTGTGGACATGGATTTGCCATCTCAGACTTCCATGTCATAAACATAACAATAAACTTGTTAAATAAAGTTTTCTGTCATAAACTTTACTTTATGATCCATTAATGTGGATATTTAAAGGCCACCTTCTGATATTCTATGAGTTTCCCATTATCTTAATACAACTTTTCAAATGAGAACTTTTGAGTTGATCATATGTATTGACATTCCAAGGAGACCTTCCCCCTCCATGCCAGTTATTTGTTCAGCCTGCATGATTGGTTAAAGGAAGAGACAAATGCTTGGACCCTGCCCTGTGGTGGCAAGGAATGGTTTGCAAAGAACCACGTCCAGGTAATTCACCTGTACATCATGAGATTCTCTCACCCCAAGGCTACAGAAATAGAAAATGCTGGCAGAGAGCCTTTAAATAAATTGGAGCAGTATTTTAGCCTGGTGCCACCACGCTGAGTTGATTGGTGCTCAGATCTCCATATTATTGTGTGTCAAGGAGAATGGTTCTGGTTCAGATCATGAAGACTAAAGAAATAAAGATTTTTGGAGGCATCACATCCTCAGCTTGTCTTCACAGAGATTCCTCCACACTGCCTCATGCACACATTCAGCAAATAGATGAGAGGGGTCCCCCTCTACTAGCTGCATATTTGTGTTAGTGGGAAAGCCCCCCCCCCTCCTAATGTAGGGTTTTTTATTGCCATATTAGATGCAGCAGAAAATCCTTCTAGTGTCATATTTGAAAATGCACTTTCCCTCTTAAACTATTGTTAGCAATGTATTTACTTTCAAAGCTTGCTTTAAAGAAGAGCATAAACACTGGATCCTAGTTCATTTTTTACTCAGTGTGGTCACACACATTCCTTCACAGCGAAGCACTTCAGAAATGTCTATCTTAGAAGGGTCTTGCAGCCCCTGCCATTGAGCAGGGGAACCTGTGTATGGCTAGATGACTCCAGGGGATCACCAAATGTCTGTTCAGATCCTTTTTGCGTGGTTGTGCACTAGAAGATGGAGCAAGGAAAGTGCAGGATTCCTCTCCCGCAGCTACAGAGATAGTCTTCAGATTACCATTGAAAAATGAAATCAAATATTTTTATTAATTTTATTGAAAGATTCCTACGTTTCCTTTCAGGACATAACGGTGCCCCCCATGATAAGGTAGAGTTGTAAGATAAAACATAGTAACATAAAATGATTCACTTAAAAAACAAATACTAAATTAGTCCAAGACATAGCAATTGATGAAATGTAAACTGAAACAAAAATAGTTCAAGAGTTTAACTCATTGCATAGATGCTACGTATTCATATATGCTTTTGTTATAGCTATTCCAGGTCCCATATTCTGCTCTTACCATGTTTCTTAGCACAAACCAGAAGGACCGAGATTCAGCAACAGCATACCGTGAGTCTTAAAGAACTGTTTCCTTTCCAGTACCATCTATTGGGACTACCTGTAACTCTCTGAACTCAGAGGATTATGGATGTCCTGCTAAAGGCAGAAAGTGCATGGAAGTGAAGGTCACATCTTTTGTGGGATGAAGATTTAGACAGCTGATTGGGACTGTTTGTGGGCTGAGGCTGTACCAAGATACATTCTGTTCCAACAAAGCCTCACTCCTCCCCTCTTTGCCCCTGGAAAGCCCCCTGCCCTCGCCTCATGCCAGCTCTGAACTTGGACTTCCAATTTGGAGCTGCAGCCAGCACAGAAAGTGCAATGCCAGTCATGGGGGAAGGGGGGGCACTCCGCAGACAGAGTCCAAGCTGACAAGGGAGGTAGAACTCCAGATTTCTACTACCATCTAGACAAAGTCTCAGAGGCCATAGGAGTGCACCATGAGTCACTTCTCTCTTTGGGAACATAATACTGTATTTTCATTTAATCAGGTTAAGATAAGGCCAGTCAAACATGAATCTCTGATCTCACCATGTTCGACTAATTGGCAAGCATTTTTATTTTGTTAAGGACAAGGTTCTCATAAGTGTTTATATAAGTGTTCTTATAGAAGTGTTTCTTATATAAACACTTCTTTTAATGAGACAGGATGGCTAAACAGTTTTAAATTTTTCAAACCTTGGACTTCCACAAGCAACGAAGGCAAGCTAAGGCAGGAGATACCATTACATGATATAGCAGACCACTCTGTCATTTAGATTTAAAGAAGAAAGGCATATTCATGCATGCACACATAGGAGAGATACTAGTTTGCCATCCAGCAGAGTCCCGTAAGACACATGGCAAGCTGGCCTGAAGGGTTCACTGATCTTTGGTGTGGGGAGAACAATGTCACAAAAAAGAGATTAACCTTGCAAAATATAGAAGCTCTTTGGGCTGGTTCACATCTACCACCAAACTACATTTTGATATTGCATAAACAACCCACAGGTAGTCCCTTGCTCCCCTTGCACACACTGATTCTCTTCCTGCCGTGTGGTACAGGAAAACCATGGACTTTTCTTGACAAGGCTTTTATTCTTACTGTTCTTCACTTGTAGTTTCCCATTGCTTCGGATGTCATTGTCATCTTCTATGACCTCTCTTGTGTTTTCCAAGCATTTTTTGTGAGGGTGAAAGGAATAATTAAGAAAAATGAGGCCTTTGGGGAATGGCATTATGAAATCCTACCACAGTTGTGCAATTCAGCTATACCACAATGCTAGCTAGAGAATGTGAAGTGGCTGTAAATAAAGTGGCTGTAAATAAAGGCAGAAGAAACAGATCTGCATGTACACATCCAATCTTGAACCCACAAGGAATCTGGAAGCTGAAACAATGATAAAATGGCAAGTTAGAAATGCTGCATATGTTGTCATTGCATCGGAATCAGCAAATTGCTGTTCATATGTACTCTCCAAACTAGAATCAGGAAGCTCAGTTTGAAGCTGGTTTCAATTCCGGTGTGGAAAGAAAATGTAAACAACCATTTACCGAATCAGATGCCAAGTCCTAGTTATGCACAGAAATGTAGGAACTTGGAAGTCTCACTTGTTGGGGGGAAAACAACCCAGAGAAAATTCTGCTTGATTCTTCCTCAACAACCAAGAGTGCTGGGTTCACATAACATGAAGCACAGCCCAGGAATAAGGTGTTCCTGGATTGTTTTCTAAACTGGAAACATTGAGCAGGTGGGAAGCAGCAAGTAACCAACTACAATGGTTAGTTGTTAACATGCAGTTGCTACCAGCCATGAAGGGAACTGAAGCATACAAGGGGAAGGAAAACACATGAGCCGGAGGGATATTCACGTAGTGGCATCCCATGATTTGGGTATCTGCGTGTGAACTCTCTCCATAAAGCCTCTGCTACCCTGGTTTGTATCACGTTAGAAAGTTAATGAACCCCAGAAGTCTGCCCTTTCCTTTGACAGTATAAGCTAGAATGGCCCAATTATTTATGGAGTCATAACCTTTTTGTTTAACAAATAAATTTCATTTCAAAGCAATCCTTTCTTGCCTATTTTGGTCGTGTTCCTCCTTATATGACATCCCGTGCAGTATGCAAATCAGTAGATACTATTATAACCTATTTCTGTGTCTTCGTAGTTTTTTTTCCTAGAATCCTAGGTTTACAGGAATGGCTTGTGTTCCTTTTTTAGGGATGACATGTGAAGTTCTTGGAACATTGATTGGAGCTACAGTCCATGGGCAAATAGTTGCTAGTGCTCACAAGTCAGATCACTGTAAACAGAATCATACTCTAGATGTTTTCTACTCTGCAGAGGTGCAACAGATCAATTCCACTCTAGACCTGTATCATGGAGTAAGTTGAAAACCACTTGGGAGGTGTTGGGAATATTTCATCACCTCTTCCTATTATATAAAATGATACTGATCATCTTGATAATCGCAATGTTAGAGTACAGGCACCAACTTTATGTAAATGAATTGTGCTCCTAAATATTTTAAACCATTCTCTCTGAGCTCAAGGGATAAATTATGCTGAGTATTTCAGCCATTGACTGGTTTTGCATGACATGCCAAGGCTCACTATGGCCTCAGTAAGCCATGGTAAGCTGCATTACCCATGGTTGCCATCCTGAATCCTGACTCCCTGTCTTGGGCTGCTGCAAAAGTGGACAGATGAGGGCAAGGCACATCTTTTAGAGAAGGGCAGTGGATGCAACCTGGAGAAGGGAGAGATTCATGCTCACCCCCTGTCCCTGCACCCACAAATTGCAGCTGCTATCACGACAGTGTTTGTGTGCACAAACCCATATGAGTATCGCATGGGAAACTGGAGAAAATGCCTTTGCACACAGGTTAGGTGGGTAGGGGCGGGTGGCTATGTGTGCACTGTGCACATGCTGCAGGCAGCAGTGGTGCCTGTGTATGCACATGTGGCATTAGCTGTGCGCTGCATAAACTGCTCGGTGCATGGGAATTGTGCACTTACTGGGAGATTTATTAAGTACAAGGAAAAGGCCCTCTAGTGTCCCTGTGCAGTCAAAGACTGCCTGTCACCTCGGCTTGCTTAGTAGGCTAGAAGTGAGCTTGAGAAAGAAAGCCAGTGAGCCGGAGAGAGCCAGATCGGATCGCAAGCAGATCTTTGCCTCACTAATCCCAGGCCCCTTTGTGGCAGAATCTGCATTCCACAATCCCTTGCTCACTCACCAAGCCTGGGTCTGGAGTGGGGAGGTGAGATATGGCAGTTGCCCCCCCCCCCATCAGACAATTTATATACACAGCAGCTGTAAGAAGATAATGATGACGACAGCGATGATGATTGGCGGGATCTGGGCCTGTTGCCCACTGTGTTAGCAGCCTTTTTTATGATAGCAGGCTGCTTGCTCAGGGTGTGTTTTGTTTTTGCCGGCTTCCATCCAAAAGATTTCCCATCCCATCTGTTCCTTCCTGTACTTAAATTAACTAATAAAACCTGTAAACCCTTTCATGCCCTTCTGTGCCTTTCATTTGAATGCTGCTCTCTTTGCTGGCTCTTGTTGCTTGCTTCATTCACTGTTCTTCTACCCCCTCTCCTCACTCAAGATGTTCTTGCTCTGTATAGCCCTCCCTCCTCTCCATTTTCCAGCTCCCCTGATAGCATTTATGCTGCAGATGCTACCCAGTTCTCCAGCCTGCTGGCAAAACTGCTTTTTCTCACCTCTCCTCCTGCCTTTGTTGCTTTGTACAGGAAAATCTCATTGAACTCACATCACCAAGTCTTCCTGTTGTTTCATCAAGTCTTCCTGTGCCCTACATGGCACACTTCCACCCCATGGCCTGACTTCTCAAGCAGTTTATCTGTCAAAGGCTCCCTTTCCACACCTTTCCTACTACGCCATCCCTTCAATCAGGCTGTTTTCCCCGGAAGAAATTATTTGTTTATTTATTTAAAACTTTATCGACTGAAAGAGGGTTTTATAGTGCTGAACAGGGTTAAAGGGCAAAAGCCTGTTCACCCTGAAGGAGGGGGTGCAGGGGGAAGCTGTTTACTATACGGGGGCAACTAGCCAAGAATCTGCCAGTGGCTAGCTTGTCTAAGTTGTTGGCGTCCCAGTAACACATTCCAGCCCTTCCTCATCTTCTTGTATCTCATCTTCAGAGTTTGCTGCTCAGAATGCTTTATTTTGAGAGAAGCAGAACCAGTCACCACTTTTAAAACCTTGTGCTATTTTGAACATGTGCAGAATTTTCCATTTCACCGTTCAACAGCCAAAAACATGTTGCATGGCTTTCTAATAAGCAAATGCATTCAGCTTTCTAGCTAGTCAAATATATACCAACATATAGGGAATGTTTTATTTTTAATTTTAAAAATCTGCCCTTTGTTTTTTAAAGATATGTGTGACTTCTGGGTCACATTCTTAGCCAGGCCATACACCAGTTCTGAACACTCTTTGTTGTGCCTCTCTGTAATATCACACAAGTACTGCTTGGAACCCCCACTTTCCAACAATAATCCAACTATTATGATTTATGCTCCCAGTATTTAAGGTTTAATATATCATATTGGCTTGATTCTAGGAAAAGTTATAATATTCTTGGTCAATTATTATTGGCATATTTACATATTCTAGATGTTCAGTGATGGTTTAGGTCAAAGGTTCCCAGACCTTTCTAAAAGTTCTCTCACAACTAAATGCTGACCTAAATGAAGGTACTCTTAATCAACCTAGGGAATGTGCAAGACTCCCAAGCTGGTAGGTCCATCTTCCCATTTCTGCACTCCCCCACACCAGCAAGTATTTATTTATAGTGTTTATAAACAGCTCTACACCTTTTTTTAAAAAAATACAGATTCTTGAGCTGTGAACAGTAATAAAAACAGTCAAAATGCAAAACAACATATTTAAAATCAAATTATAGCAATAAAACTGGCAAGTCTTTTACCCAAGAAAGCTTGTTTAAATAAAAATGTTTTTAGCAGATGGCAAAAACAGAAACATTGGGGGCTCCCTGACATTAGCTAGCAGGGAATTCCACAGAGGGGAGCCAGTACAGTAAACATTCTACTTTGAGTGGACTCTAAACAGTCTTCAAGCCCACCCAGAACTACCAAGAGCTTCTGATGACTTCAGTGACCAGGCACATTGAAAAGGAAGAAGGCATACTCACAGGTACTCTAGCCCCAAGTTCTTTAGGGTTAAAATAACAATAACAAAACCTTACACTTGCCCCCGGATCAGTTAGCTACTGAAATTCCCATGCCAAAAGTACTGTATGCTAAAAAATCAGCAGCCTCTGACAACAGCCAAGTTCTTCTTCATGATCTCTGTGCATCCCACAGATGTGTAGAGTCATATGCGTGAATGCACAGATGACCACTCGAAGAACAACAGTTACAGGCAGGCAACCTGCCTTTGGTGCATTCTGCAATAGGTGCTGCTTCCAGACTAGCCTTAATGGCAGACCCATTTAAAACCCATTGTAGTCAGCAGACCCAGTTAAAACCTGTTGCAGTAACTCAGTCTTGAGGTGGCCTGTACCAGCAGCAGGCAAATTGACCTGCTGAGTTCCTTGGAACTAGTCTGGCAGAGGCAGGTCCAGGGGTAACTGCAGTCTATGTAGCTTAGTTTATTAATAGCAGTTGGAGATGGGAATAGGAATAAAAGATACAATCAGCCATATACTCTATACCACACAGGTTCATTTTCACAATCTTTAAAGTCAGCCATATGGATATTGCATACTTTAAAAAGAAGAGTGTCTGCTACTTTGCCCAAAAAACAAAACAAAACAAACCCCCTCTTCAAACATATTTTGATTTCTGGGTCACTAGACGTCTAGTTCACAAGTGTATTTATTGTAACCTTTGAATTTTATCATTTTAGCAAATTTTGTTAATAATTTTGTTTTTTGTTTGCTGAAAGCAAATATTCCTCACAGAGAACAAGGAAACATGCATTGCATGAAATTTAAGAAGTCTCTGGCTATGCACATGTCACCACTACTTAACTAGAGGCTACAGTATATAGTAATGAGTGGGTGTAGAGAATACACAATGTTTCCCCTTTTGAGTCTTGTGGACATCAGATGGACATCCCAAGATTAGGCTATGGCATCCCCTCCATGAGTAAGTGTGCTTGGACCTCACTTTCCTTGCACTACTACAGCTATCAGAGATTTCCTTCCATCCACCAGATCTTTTAACTCCCATAACTTATAGGTGCTAAGACTATATGGGTCTTCTAGAAAACAAGCCTAGGACTTTTCATTATTGTGTGTGTATGTATTCTTCATATGTGGGACTGGGTTTACCATCAAGCAGAGTAGGGCAGTTTCTTCAGGCAGCAGATTCTCAGTGGAGCAACCCTAAAGGAGGCCTTGTGGCCATTTAAGTTCATAAAAGGGCAGAGAGTCATGTATTCCTTGTAGTTCACTCTGCTAGTGCAATCTCATCACCGGCTGCCTGATCCAGTCTGGTTTTGTAGGTGGAAGGGCTCTTTGCTTTGTTTCCTTGCTTTTTTAATGATGTGAGCCGCCCAGAGAGTCCATGGCTAATGGGGCACCATACCAATTGAATTGATGATGTCCCAAATGGCAAAATGTCTTGGGAGAGTCCTGTTCATGTGGCACTGATATGCACTTATTTCTGTCGTTAAAGTTTCAGTGAAGATGAAGGTTTGGTCACATTAACACGGAAGCATTCAAGCAGATAATCAGTGACTTGACTTCAGAAAATGTCCCCTGTGGAGACTAATTCTTAGCCATAAAGTGACCTTGCCTATGCAGTTGAAGGGGGTACAATAGTGTGACAGGCTGTCTCGCACAGGCAGATATGAAGCAAGTGAAAGTGTGCAAAAACTGTTTCCACAAAAACAGGTCCTGCCAGACAAACCTTGTGAAATTCTATGACAAGGTTTCGAGATGGCTAGATGGAGGGGATGCAGTGGATGTGGTATACCTGGATTTCAGCAAGGCCTTTGACAAAGTGCCCCATGATATCCTGGTGGAGAAACTGAGGAGTTTTGGGATACACCAAAGCACTGTCCGGTGGATTAGGGCATGGTTGATTGACCGAAAGCAGAAGGTAACCATTAGCGGGGAATCATCGGGATGGCGGCCAGTGACAAGCGGGGTCCCCCAGGGCTCTGTCCTGGGGCCGATCCTGTTTAATCTTTTCATTAACGACATGGAAGAACGGGTGAACAGTCTGCTGATCAAATTCGCAGACGACACTAAAACTGGAGCAGTGGCCACAACTGAGGAGCAGGTACTCCAGATCCAAAAGGATCTGGGCAGACTATGGAAGTGGGCAGGAGACAACAGGATGGTTCAATGTGGATAAGTGCAAGGTCTTGCACTTGGGGCATAGGAATAGCTGTCATAAGTACAGGTTAGGTGACAAGTGGCTGGAGAGCAGCACTTGTGAAAGGGACCTTGGGGTGCTGGTTGACTGCAGGCTAAACATGAGTCAGCAGTGTGATACGGTGGTCAAGAGGGCGAACGCCACCCTTGGTTGCATAGCCAGA